ATATTTAGCCTCAACTGCATGAATATCACCTGCCATTGCAATCCTAGCCTTGATTTCTACTGATTCTTTATCAAGTCTCTGGTTACAAACTTGTAACAGTGTATTTTGTAAGATGATTGTTTTTCCAATATTGCTGACATACTCAATACTGCTCACAGCAGAGGACTGGCTTGGATAACAACGTCCCTTAACAAAATCAATTTCTTTGGCACATATTAAACAATGAGTTTCAAAGTTGATATTGGAGTTCAGAGTTCGCAAAACATGTGGCAGTGGACTGAGTTTTGATGGCTTTGTAAATGTTCTTGTTTGCTGTGTATGTCTTTCGACAACTCTCATGTACAAAATACATGTAGTCATTATTCACTGTAATCTGAGTGTGAATGTCATCTTCACGTTTCATTGATACTGCAATCAAAGATGAAAGTCCTTTTGAAGACAGTTACACATCAGCTCCATCAACACCACACAGAACACAGCAGTGGTCAGCAGCACCTGGAATTAAAACAATACAAATAATAATTTTTACAAAAATAGTATGCAATTTAAAAAATATTATCATGTGTTAAAATGTTGCATAGTACCAGGATTGCATCTTGAAAATGTGTTCATAATGTATGTGCACCACCCAAAATTACATGGAAGAAAATTAGTGAAACATTTCATTTTTGTCAAAAGTTCCAATTAAAAAAAATTGGGCATAGCTTCTGTGTGCCGGGCTACCTGCCCGGTCTAGGGAACAAACGTTCAATTTCCTGATCCCCCCCAACCCCAAGGCTAATGGACAACTGTCCATTGTGCACTGCCTTTCCCTTACCCCAACACATTAAATTTATGTTTACATGAATATTGGTATATAACGGTACCTACCTTATCACACAGTTTCATTCAAGGCATTGAAATTTGTTTATGCAATGATAAATGCATTGTACAGAGATTAGAAATAGAATTTTGGGGTTTTGTTTATACTAATGTTCCTGTGTTTACCCATTTTATAAAATGAATATGAAGTGTTACACATCTATTTACTATGATATCTGTGTATTTGAACAAACATATATTTATTTAAAAGTAACAAAAATGTACATTATTCCCCCCACAAAGCATTTCAGTGTAGGGCCACCTGAAGTCATCATATATGTAACCAGTCGTTAAGTTTGTCGCATACAAGGAAAAGCTGTCTGCTAGCATACAAGTGTCCGATGTATGGGTTTACAGCCCCCCAAACATATTTATTTATATTCTAAGTTCTCTGTAGGGTAAATAACAGATGGGAAAAACATATCTTAGTTGTGTTACAAACACAGTTTAAATTAATTTCTTTTCAACAGATGCAAATACCATACAATGCTATCAAGAAGATCTGTCAAAACTGTGATGGAATGAACTCGAATAAAGCAAATACTTCAATTAAAATAGTAAAATTACTCTATGCTAAGGACTCTGCATATAAAATACTTACCAGAGCTCCTATGTGTTGTTGATGACATGTTCTTGGAGTGATGTGTTGACACAAAACCTCTATGAGCTGGAGAGACCACCAGTGGGTGCCATCTTGTTTTGGTTCCTACAGATACTACTTTATGGACAACTACTTTACATGCAAAGAAAGTCATTGATCAAATTTGACTGGAAATCAAACTCAAATTTAACAACTTTGCCAGAGGTTGATTTTGGTTGGGTTTTTATGGTAATGACATATGAACATGAGAATACCTTTGGCATAAATATTTGTCTGTTATCGAAATTGTCTAGGTGTAATTAAATTAGGGGATTTTCCTACTGGCCTAAATGTCAAAGGCACAGTGAGGGTAATTCTGAAAGTATGTTTGCCATTTTAATTTTGTCTTTTTGTTTTAAAAAGTCGTGGGCATGTAGTGTATTGTTCAAATACTCATGTAAGACAAGTGACGACAGTCATCTTTATATCAGAAGTAGGTGATGTTTGAAACCATGTGGTGCATGGATATCTCAGGGACATCATATCATGTAAATATCCTTTATGACCCAGGGGAATCACTTTGGCACATTGATCGCTCATGTCAAGGGTCAAGGTCATCCTGATGGTCATATCCTGATTAAAAGCTTTGTTTATCGCCTAACTCGAGAAGGTTTTACTGTAGGTCAATGAAACTGGTACATGTCATCCTTAGGGTGCGGCCCAGATTGAAAAAGGTCATGTGAATATGTGAGATATGTTTGTTATTAAGGTAGCTACAGGCATGGGGACTTGTTTATAACGTCCTTCTGCATTGGGCATATGTTTTCCTAAACCAGAAGTGATGTCACTTGTACTCATAACTTTCTTGTTATTAAAGGTAGTTAGAGGCACAGTCTTGGAGGCAATCACTGAATCAGGAAATGTGGTGATGGGCCTGCTTATTAGGGGTGTCACAATAAATCGGAATATCGATATGTTGCTATTGGTAAGCACTTAAAGTCAATAAATTGATTGTTAAATCAGTTTCCAATCAGTAGTATCTATTTCAGTTAGGAATATCGATAGTTTCGATTGTATTTACCATATCAATATACACGCAATGCTGTTTAAATTTGCATTTCTTTTGATCATAAGTGGTAGTAATTTACACATGGTAATGTGGAAGTTTCTTTTTCTTAAATTATTAGGGTAAAGAAAAAACAAATTAGTCATATCTCAAACTTTACTTTTTATTTGTTGTTATGGTTATCACATTCAAAGGAAACTTCAGTTCCAAGGTTTAATTCAACTCTTAAATCCATCTAAAATGATACACTGAAAACTATCGATATTTATCGCAATGGTTGCTTGCAATATCAATAGTTATCGCAATAGTGATTTCCAGACCAATAGTCACCCCTACTGCTTATGTAATGCAAACACTTCTATAGTTTATTTATTGTGGCCTAATGTTGTCAACATATATAAGATAGCTACGTGATAAATCACAAAGAACAATGAAGTACGAAGCCTGGTTTATTTCATGATAAAACATTGTTCTATCATGATGTCATTTCTGGAGATTTGAATACTGTAAATCTTAAAATTGATGCGTGTCCAAATTAATACGACTGCTGACCCCTAGCCAAAAATGCGACTCAAAATCCCCTCACCCCATTCCCAGTGGAATGATACATATTCTTACCTTAATCCAATCAAACAGCAAATAGCACCGCTTATTAGCACTGAGTAAAGCACTTCCGTAATAACAATAAACAGTGTTTTCCTAACAACAACTCACAGTTTATATGTTTATTCAGTTGACTTGCATCATAGAAATTCAAAGGCAATAAAAAGAATGGACACAATTTATTTATAACAACTTGTCAAGCAAGACCACCGTATAAGGATCTATACCAAAACGTCACCTATACAGTATTAAAGAAGTTGTTATCCATATATTGTGTCTATTTTGTCATCAGTCAGTTTCTTAGTAATGCCTATCAGGCAATAAAATAATTGGACCAACAACAGTTCGCTGATTGGAGTGGTCAGTGATGCCTGACATGAGTGGGTAGAACTCTTGACCACAGCAGTGATAACTCACCGGACACCCAATGTGTAACTCCTATTCTTTAAACAACATTGTTATGGACTTGTTGCAACTGCTGCTCAATAAACAGTGTTTGTGTATATATTCAAGTTGGTATTTCCGCTATCTAAAGTGTGCAGTGAGGCCGTCTCAATGTTGATAGAGTTGCTATATGGCTGAAATTATGCCGATGCGACATTAAATTTTAACTAACTCACTATTGTTAATAGTCATTTTGGAGACATAAATGAGAAGTTTCATTAATGTGAACAAAGACCACTCATATTTGCATTTAATTCACGCTTGCCTTAATTTCAAGATTTGCAGTATGTGCTCTCAACTTCATGACATCATATATTGAACAATGTTATTTTTTTAGAGGGAAGTTTCTAGTAAATTTTCCCCATAGAAGTAGCTGGGCTATGCAGGTAAACGCAATGGTTGAATGATCGTATCTAAATGTGGGAGAAATATGACAATCGGTATAACAGGGCTCCAGATAAAGGCTGCATCTGTGTATGTACGGATAAAAAATATGCACCTGTTCGTTTACCTGAATTTGCTAAAAGTAAAACATTCTGCTCATAATACTCCAATTTCCCCCCCAAAAATACTGAATACCCTGGAGGGAAGTGCACATTATAACAATAGACATACATGTACAACGAAAATAAGTATTATTTATTTTTTATTGTCCAGTTTACACAAGAGTAAAAATGCTGTATTGCATATCTAAGATGAAATACAGGATTAATCCATTAAATTCCGTTCAGTTCTCTAGGTGTACTCTTTACTTTGCCAGTACTCCTATATTGAAATAATGAGGAGTACGTACTCCAGATGCTGAAATTATCTGGAGCCCTGGTATTAGGAGAAAAGGTACAGATAATTGACATGAGGATTGTGAGAATATGCGGGAAATACCTAACTTAACCCACCTGTGCGTAAAATGTTCTTTTCGGACATTTCCGGGTCTGTTTCTATTCAGGTAGTCATCATTATTAAAATTTGGGTAAATATTTTTAAAGCTTGTTCATTTTATCAACATCAAGAGGTTGTACATAATGTTGATATCTCATATAAGAAATATATGCCTCATGGCTGCGCCCTCATGGTTTATTCTCCCTGCAGTGTTTTATTGTACGATAAACAACACCCACTCGTCATTTATTTCTTAAATAAAGACTGAATATAAGACTTTGTGATTTTTTTTTTAGATTGGTGCAGATAATAGTCATGTTTTTAAATAGCTTGTGAAAGTAGGATACCTTGGTTCAGAATGCTCCTGCAGGGGTGATGGGGTATTTCATCACTCAAGGAACCCAGGTTTGAGTCTTCATATTGGTAGAATGTGTGAAGTCCATGTGTGTCTCTCGCCATGATATGGCTGGAATATTGCTTCCATGATACCATGATACCATGATTTACTTACACATATTTTATGTGAACACCTTACATGAATGTACAGTATGTGTCCTCCTCCCACAGGTGAATCCCATGAACTCCACCCACCATCAGAATCTCAACCTGGCATCGTTGTCCACATCTGTGAGGACCCAGAGGGTTATAATGACCCCAACAGACCTAGAATAGTACAGACCCGACGACCGGAGGCGACTTGACCATAGTGTGTGTGTATCTTGTACATCTGTTGTGTTCCTGACAGACCTGACAGCTCTTCACTTGGAAGACACAGGCTAACCATTAACAGTGTTCAAAGAGAAATGTGTTTGCTGGCCCAGGGCTTCGCTTTCTCTCGTCTTGGGCAGATCAACATTGTCCCTCACTTGGTTTTAAGGCCAGTACATCTGAAACTACTGGACATTGAATTCTTGTTGATCATAACACCATTATGTATTGTGTATCAGCATTAATTACAGCTTACTCCAATGTTGAACATATTGTCTTGGAATTGTAACGGTTATCTCAAAAAGTGTGTTATGTGCTATATTGCCCGAGTAACTGGTAGCACTATTTATGCCATTATGACATGCTTACTGGGTGCCATACTGATGCACTTGAGTCATGGTAGAGGGAATGTAAAGCTTGAGTATCACAATATTTTGCTTATGGATAATAGCAGTTAGTTTATACACCCCAGTGTCATGCATAGAGGATCACGGTATTTGTTTAATTAGCCATTTCATTAACTGAGATGGGGTGATTGCATGTATGTGATATAGAGATTGCTACACGTTTGTCTGTCAGATACCATTGATCTTACAACGAGTTATCAATGGTATCTGACAGGCACGAGTGCAGTAATCTGTTTCTTACACACCCTAAAATCGCACCTTTTTAGCATCAAAGTGATGCATTTTGTCTATTCTCATGATTGCAGTAGCACATTAATACATAACACCACTGTCATAAGTGACGTCATTCTATGTACTACTTACTACTCATAAATAATGTGACCCTACACAAAAAGGTTTCCGCCATATCTGTGGATTATCAAGGCGATGATGAAAGTGCAAACTAGACAATACAAAGAACACGCTGGGTGCTGATTTAAAAGTTTACACCTAAAAGAAGTGACTAAGTATGTACAACAATGTTTACTTCTGTATGACATCACTGCCGGTGGCCGACTTTTACAAAATGGCGTGTTTCACTGACAACAGTACATGGGATTTCCAGAGGATTTTCTTTAATTGAGGGATCGTATATACATAAATGTGTCACGTAAGTAATCAGAAACATTCTGACAATCTGCGTAGTTATTTGTTTACCATGTTTTCCAATGTAACAAAGAGATTTAGTCAGAAATGCAGATAACTACCGTCGTCATTGTGCGTGATATAGCGTCACACAGGATGGACACTTTTATGGCTTCTGTTGAATTTACCACATCATTGTAATGTATATATGTGGAATTCCATAATAAGGGCAACGATACTCTTCCCATGAATATTCTCAAATGCGTGATCGAGCCAATGTATGCAACAACTAGACGAAAATATCATAGTAATAATGCTACACAGTATAAAATCGGAATTTTGCTTTGTGTACATTTCATCAAGTACAGTTTTCCGAGCACAGTTTTCGTTTCCATACCTAATTTATTTCGCATGATTTCATCTAGATAATTTCCATTGGTGACAAAGACCATTTGTCATTTGTTTCTAAAATGTATGAGGAATTCAGGGATGCATGTATAACAGCTGAGTTTGAAATATACCTGATCGATTAGGCGTCTCATAACCGGCATTTTGTAAACACAATCCAATATGGTGGAACGTACACTTCGGCGTTCATTTATGCATATTTTCCAAACTATTCTTAACAATTCTAGGCTTATCAGAGACATTTCAGAATTATCATTAGTGATTTGATACCCGTGATCACTAATATGCTATTTTTCTGCTTTAATTAAACATCCGAGATTTTGATTTCTAAACACACAGTAAATAACGCTGTGAATTGTGATTTGGCGACATTTACAATGTACCACATTTTCAGAAGTCACTTTCAGTAATTTTGCTTTGCCTAAAATGACAGTAAATGATAAACAGAAGGTGGAATTCAAAACTGTGAAGTGTATTAGTTTGTGTGATGTATTTTGAATTATATTCGATTTCAAAGTTGAAGAGGAGGGATATATGTGTCGCTGTGGCATCCAGGGGTTTACACTCTGAAAAATGATAATGTTGACATAACAACAGATAATGTAACTGATAATGATAACAAACAAACTCACAGATGAGGACGAGTTTGTTTATTTTTATTATTAATTACATGGCCCTGTTGTTCAATATACAGACGTAGGTGAACATTCGTCTGAAGCACGAGCAACTTATAAATGACTTACACTCAGGAAAGTTGTCTGTCATCATCTGACCTCAGGTCATCACCACGGAGTAGCCAATCACGGGCTTGGAATTCGAACTCACACAGATGTTTGATACCAGTTATCTCAAATGGGTTTCTCACCCACAGGTGTGTAAGAAATTGGTGTACTGTGACCTTCACTGCAACCTGGCCTTTGGCAGCACTATTGGTGTTGAGATTGTTGTTCTGACATTTGTCTACTTGGCAGCTTCCTCCAGTGACCTGTATAAGTTAGGGCACCAGTGTGCATTGTGTGACTGTCACTTGTGTATATGTTGTAGCGTATAAGAGTTTACCAAAGAACTGTCCTGTTCAGACTGTGTATCAGCTGAATCACTCTCTGGTCTTGGACTGCTAAATAAGGCAATGTAAGTAATGTAACAGAACAAGATTGAACTGAACACTCTGAATATGATGGAATAGAGAAAGGTGATGCAGACAAATGTGAAAACAACTTGTTCCATCCCTCACCGACATTTATAAACATGTATTTTTATGCTCTAGCGTTACACTAATCCAAATTACATATGAAGAAAAATAGTGAGTACATGTCTCGTTATCAGGCATTATGTTACAGGAGTGAAAGAATTTGAAATGGTCAGACAAATTATTAATGGTGAAACTACTGATGTGTTTGTATGTGAAGGATAACCGAGGAGTGCTTTATCTCACTTATTTACCGTCTAAATGCAAGAAATAACAGAGAGAATTGAGATATGTTATGGTGAAACAATACAGAGTGTCACAGTGTAAAAGGAATGCAATCAAAGCGTGCAAGAGAAGAAACATGTGCAGCATGTACAAAACTTAGTTATGACATCTAAAATTGAACATTCATCACCTGCCCCAGTAGCTCAGTGGGAAAACATTGGAGTACAAAACTTTACACGATATTTGAGGTTGTAGGTTCGATACCCTTCATCCATAATGAAAAAGTTTCATTTCTTGTGTTTGATTTTAGAACATTGGACGTTTTAAACACTATGTCCAAATTCCATCTGCTACTATATCATCAGGTCTTACTATCAAAAAGTAAAACCTCATACCAGGTCTTATTAGGAAAAAGTAAAACCTCTAACAAGGAAAAAGTAAAACCTCTAAAGAGGTTATTATGAGAAAGGAAGATACCTACAGTACAATAGGCAAAAGCGGCAGTAGGTTTATAAGTTGGATACATGGAAATCAAACATTAAATTTCAAGGCCTTGTCAAGGCTGCCAACCGTCATTTTCATGCGAAGATCCGGGGTAGGTCTTCAACAACCCATGCTTGCCGTAAAAAGCTACTATGCTTGTCGTAAGAGGCGACTAACGGGATCGTGTGGTCAGGCTCGCTGACTTAGCTGATTAATGTCATTGTATCCCAACTGCGTGGATCAATGCTCATGATGTCAATCACTGGATTGTCTGGTCCAGGCTCGATTAATTACAGATCACCGTCATATAGCTGTAATATTGCTGAGTGCGGCGTTAAATAAATAAGTCAGGTTTAAGTTTTAGTTGGGTTATTAGCCTTAGTCTGTCAATATTTAATTAATTCCAGCATACTGTGTATTAGTTGTACGACCTAAAGAGTAGTTTGTCCATCACACAGTTTCCAACAAGATATATTTTTCACCCCCCAAAAAAGTTTAATTAAATCTGTCATGAATTCTTCATGGTCTTTGGCACAAACTGTCATAAATGACTGTCACTGTGATAAATCTCACTTGGACATCTTTGGTACATATTTTTGTGTTCATACAAAAATAGCATCCTCAGAGATAAGATATATCTGGTATTGCAAGATAGGACACATGTCAATAGTCAAACCCACACCACTTTATAGCATCTCACATATCTCTCTGAGCACAAATCACAAACTGATATTTCAATGACACTTTCATTATTAAGAATGTACAAATCAGAGACATTGAATCACTCTTTGATTTTGGAAATGTCTTCCACTTGAAATATTGTCTTATGCTGAAATATTTTGCTATTTATAATATTACTTCATACTAAAACACTAGAATGAAGAAACTATCCCCATAATCAGTGTACTTGTAGTGTGATCCACACTGGAAGAGGAACCCCAGCACTATGTATGTCAGATTTGAAGCCCTGGCACACACACAAGACAGGGAGAATGTGGAAGTGCATGTACTTCAGTGTTTGTGGTATATTAAAACAACATAAGGACAAATTTCATTACTTTACAGATCCACATGTCACTCTTTAATCCATTTTCAACAATAAAAACCCATCTCTAGCAGGAAATAATGTCTAACAAGTAACAATCTCCTCTCAAAATTTTCAGTTACTTTGCCATTTGGGCTGTTTGTTCTCTCCTGCTCAATCAACATCACCTGAAGCAGTAAGCACCTTAAGAACAATAGAAAATGTGGTAAAAAAAAAGCACAATTAATAAAATAACATTTTTAGTTTTAAAGTTTTATTCATATTTTTCCTTCCTTTGGGTATTTTGGGATGAGAATCTGTAAAACAAGTACTGAATTTGGTCTGCTGTGATATAGTTATATAAGGTACTGTTGAAGTCAGTCATATAATAGGCTGCAGTACAGCATATGGATATACTGTAGCAATATACATAGGCGAGATATAATATGTAGGATCACAGTAAGATGTTATGTAGCAATATTTTGATTGCCCTAATGCACACGACGGCATGGTATTGTGTTGTTAGAACTCCCACAGCACATGGAGGAGTAGTACGTATCAGGCCCTCCCTCTACACAACAGTTTCCATGTCAAACACAAAGTTAAATATGGCAACTGCTTTGGAAAATAAATCTTTTGACAGTAAATAATTTGTGTATGTTTTCTGATAACTTGAAACTACTCAGTCATTACTAAATACAAATAAAGTCTATGCTGTGGAAAATCCATTTTGATATATAATTTGTAGATGTATTTTGGCCATTGTGTATTCACCCCAACATTGTAAAGCTGTTGAAAAGGGATGCACATATTCTGTTTGTTCTTACCTGCATGTTCTAGTTGTAGACCATCATTATTATGTCAGTAGACTGCGCACTATCTCATGACAGACCATGGTTCCTGACATTTCACCAGCCAGTAACCTACTTCATTTATCACCATTCTGTTGTGCTTATTTTCAGCTTATTACAAACATGTGATGGTTTGTTTGTTATCATTATTTAAATGTTTGTTTTGTAAAACATGTGAAATTTTATTCTTTACATATTTGAATTCTGTTTATTATGTTTCCAAAATTCATAATTTTGACTCTAGATCTGAAGCACATATTTTGCAAATAGTTTCTGAATAAATGTGTCAAACAGCTGTTTTTGTTTTCTTACTGTCTCTCTAGAAATATGAAGACAAAGGAAACATGGTTGATAGGGCACTGAAGAAACAGGAAGGCCATAAAGCAACACTATATAGTTTCTTGGATATTTATTCATGCAGTAATTTACTCCATCATAAATAATTTCACAATATGTGATATATAAATGTGAATACTTTAGGT